ACACACACACACATAGGAATTGAAAAGAATAACTTTTATTTCCCTCTAGCGTGTAGTGGTCAGAAGTGGAGATTTAGTAGCGAGCGGATAGAAGATATTTTTACCCAGCTACTGGCTGAGCCAATGGCAGATAAAAGAGTAATATTGCGCACAAGGAGACTTGTGACATATGTAGCTATCTAACACCACCTGCTGGTCGGGTGGAGAATTGCGATGAGCTCTCCCATTGCGACATTGTAGCAGAAATTTTAAATGATTCTCGTTAACTTAGACTTTGTTCACTATGTTTCCTGTCATTCTAAATAGAAGGATTTATTTCCAGGAGTGGAAAAGCAGTTTTCGGGATATAAGAGAGAGCTTCTGGGACCAAAGTGAGGCCCGCCGGATCGCTGCATTGCCTGTAAAATGAATGGAGGCGGCCATGCAAGTGGCAATTTTCACTCAATTTCAAAAGGCTTTCCAGAATCCAAATTATGATGACAAGTAAATGGCGGAAACTTAGGAATCCACCACTCGGATCTCTGACTAACCACCAGAATTAAAAGGTCGATGGAAATGGGATTGAAGTGGCAGAAAACACCATTTCATGCCTTTGGTTGCCCTGCAATTTAAAAAATAAAAAGGAATTGCGAGTTCAATCAAATTGCCTCGTGTCTGGACAGCATTTTGGGTTGGTCCCCATGATGGTCCCATTGGCTGATTCTTCTATATCAGTAAGGAACGGCAGCTTCTCCTACTAATCTGGAAAGAACGATAGCTGGTTGGTGTGAATGGACCGATCCGATGGTCCCTTTCACTCACAATGCGGCTTTCTTATATGTAACAAGTGTGATTTTATAAATCCACCACGGAAGGCACAATTCACAAAGCTTCACCACAAGGAGATGGGTCTTTCTTTTAGTCATGTGACTGTCATTTTCAAATCTGATTGGACTGAAAGTAACTCACTTTTTTCTGTTATAATTAGGATCCTTTTCCTGGTGTGACAGATTTGTGAATTGAGACAAAGTATCTTATTAAAAGCAGCAAAAGATGTTTAATTGTACGTGTTAAGATATATATAAGTGTTTTTGTTTTTTCCTGGGGCAGAGCGCAGAACTCCTGTAATAGGCGGCAGATCAGCGCACACCAGAGCGACATGACAGTCCAGAAATGGATGGAGGTAGATTTGTATATGGGGGAGGTATAGGGGACGTAGAAGGGGGGACGCAGTGTGTGAGTGATGGTGGTACAGGGACCTCGGCCTATGGATGATCCTTCTCATATTCTGTGCCAAATAAGAATTTGCCATCATTGTGTGATGCAGCCGGTGAATTCTAATGGACTGAAAGTCACATGACATTCAATGGTGTCCATTATATATGTCCATGGACATCGGGTGCCACATTCCACCATAGCTGGCGTTAGTTTGCACAGCTTCATGGGGCGCCATCATGTGCGGGGCAGCGGTTGGATTCTGTCCTTCATAACTTGTATTGTAGAAGCACTCGGCATGCCTAGTATGGCCTCAGATGTTCAGCTATCTCACCCCATCCCTCTCCTCACTCTCTCCACCGAAAGTCACCTCACCACCCAGGAAATGTGTAGAGTAGCACAAATAAATAACACCGCCAGCTCACTAAGCAAATGGGACCAAGCATGGGAGCAGGCAATATCACTCCCCATACTGGGCTATCAGAGCATTAATAATAGTCCATGGCCGGTATTTATCACAGGAAGGTCCATTCCAAGCAGCATTGTATGAAGTCGTTTACACAAGATGGCCGTGGTCACAGTGGCACTACTGCCCATTGCCCATGTGCAATGTGATACCCCAGCACAGTGTATGTAGCCTTCTGTTCAGAACTACTTTTCCACCATACAATGGAATCCAAATGTAGCTTGAAGCGGCTTAGGAGCAGCTTAGAAGAAGGTTGGAAGTGACTTAGAAGGAGGTCAGAAGCAGCTGAGAAGGTCAGAAGCAGCTGAGAAGGTCAGAAGCAGCTCAGAAGGTCA